CTAGACATATATCGAGATATTCTCTTTGTTGAGCAGTGTCACTGGCAATCCACTCCAGTTTCGGGTGTATGGAATTTGGAGCGATCGTGTTAACCTTGGGGGACAATCTGCCTGAAGTAACTATTACACACATCGGGACGAATTTGTTTCTAAGGCAGTGGTTTTCACCACGACACGGTTTTGGTGTTTCATTTTTTAATTTTTTATATTGTCCAGTCAATCGCTAAAGTCTCATTTTGCAGTCTATATTTCCAACACCATCTGTGTTGAGCTTGACCACCCCTGGATTGGGAGGTCTCCAAATTTGATTCCTAGGTGTGTCATTTGCTTTGGTGGCGATGGAAGAGGTTTTAGCCCGGATGGATTGGGCCCAAGAGCGTGCAGACTGGATGATGGATGGGGTAGACCAAACCTTGCCCTTGAAAATAAAATTGCATCTTTGCTTATAGAGTCTCCAGATCAGAATTCCAAAGAAATGCATTCAGTAATATGCAGTCTCCACCATACCTGTAGAAAAATTGAGATTTGATTTTAACCTATTGAAAAGATTAAGATTGAAGAAACTCCCTGTTAATTACGGTGGAGTGATAAGAGTCCAGATCATGACCCACTCAACCATTTTGACAAGGGAAATTCCCATAACTTAATTACCAACTCTCCATAACAAGACACATATGTAAGAGGACTCATATCAAGTTCCTTGGTTGTATAACTTTTGTGGATTGTTTGATACCTTATTTGATTCTTTTTAAGAGTATAGAGACCAAATTGATCCATTTAATAGTAGAGAGATTACTTTGAACATTTTCAATAATAGATAGACTAAATTGATCCGTTTAATAATAGATAGGCTAAATTGATATAATACTTATAAGGGATGATTTGAAATTTTCAATAATAGATAGACTAAATTGATCCATTAATAGAGCAAAAATAATGTTATCAATCATGTTTACTCCAATTACAATATTTTCTTACATTCTACATAGAAGTTTTGCCATTTATGACATATTTTCTTATTAACCAGATCTCATCTCTGTTCATGTATGTCAAATTGCAAATCTCAACCATGTAACCATCAGGATCATGGAAGAAAAATTGCATATTTCAATATTAAAAGAGATCTAAATTATTATTTTACCCTATATATGATTGCTGAATATATTGTTAGGTATATATATATATATAGAAAGTTCAAAACTTGTTTGTAATTTTTATTGTATTTTCTATAAAAGAAGATATAACAATTAAAGAGATTTTATTGTATACATTTCTATAAAAGCAGATAACAATTACATGATTTCTAAACCCTAAACGAAGAAACATATCGAGATGGTTAGGTTTTCATGCGTTCCCTTTGCCTTCCCTCGTCCTTGTTGTTTCCACTTTCACCATTCAAACAGTAAACGTACTGCATCTATTTATCATCCCTTCCTTCTCATTGAATGTTGATTTATTATAAACTATGAATTGCATCTCTCTAATTCTACATGTTTCATGTCCACAGGCTGGTGGGGAAGGATCACTTCGCCTCCAAGGTAAATGCATTAATATTCAAATTTCTATTTTCTATTTACCTTGTCATGTTCCATCGTAATAATCCGATTCACTGAAAGTTTGATTAAGTAGAGATGTCCATTGATTGATTCAGCCGAATTTCTAATCCTTATTTTGTTGGATATGCAGATTGCCCGAACGCCTGTAACGTTCGGTGTTCGAAGACACAATATAAGAGTGCGTGTTTGGAATTCTGTAACTACTGTTGTAAGAGGTGTTTGTGTTCCTTCGGGTTTTTATGGCCACACTGGAGTGTCATGCTACGACAACATCAAGACTAAGGAAGGCAAACATAAATGTCCTTGATTTGTTAATTACAGATTAATACCAATTAAAATGCTAGAATAAATTGAGATGTTGAAAAACTTTCGTCTTGAAATAATATGTTTGTTGATGATCAAAATAAAAAGATAAACGTTGGTGATGCTTTTATTTTTTTAAAGCGTTTATATTATGCTATATATGAGCTCAATGGCATGCAGCTCGATGGTGTGTGCTCATTTCTTGATGCGATTCCTTGTGGAGTAAGGTTGCCTTAGATGAGAGGATAATCTTATTAAGAGTATAGGGACCAATTGATCCATTTAATAGTAGAGAGTTAATTTGAACATTTTCAATAATATATAGACTAAATTGATATAGATATAATAGAGGGACTTGTCAGCTATTTTCATCGAAATTTTGGACTCAAGGACAAGGAACCTGGTTTCAGTCTCCAGGATCAGTGATTAAGTGCAGTCAAATGAACTTGTGAGCATGGCATGGCAACGGTGGTTGAAGCCAAGCAAATAAATCATGTTCTCGAAGAACATTATTATCAGAATACATACTCAAGTTCATGAAAACAACCAATGCCGGACAAAATCATCACCATCAGCGAAAATAATGTTCTCAACCATGTTTACTCGAAAATTTTTTACATTCTACAGCAGTGGCATATATGTCATATTTTCTCAGCATCAGATCTCATCTCTGTTCATGCATGTCAAATTGATACGTCCAACAAGTCTATCACCAAATTTTTCATCATAATTACGGCTAGTCCGGAACGAGATGTCTTTCTGCTTTGCTTCCCGGAAGTTCTCAGCCCATGGTTGCAGCCAGCTTCTCTAGGCATTTATATGAATAAAACTACAGTTACAGTGGATGAATGCATAAAAGAACCTACCATACAACAAAGAAACTGCATCGTAGACTTAGGTACCTTGAGAAGGCAAGAGTAGAGTGGAAGGACGGAAGTTTTGGCAGTTGCAATCTCAACCATGTAACCATCAGGAACGTCGAATTATGTAGCCATGTAACTATGGCCGCCCTGTACTTGATTTTCATCTCTTGAAGTTCTGCATCACCGGCTTCATGTCGGAGCATTGATTTGGAATGAAATATTGTTGTCTTTGGAATGATTTTTTCTTTCTTTGCTGCCAGAACACTTTCAGATTCAAGCAAATGGATGCGGATTCCATAGTTGCACGACCTGAAATAGTAATTATCATCATTCAATGAAATCAAACACAACCAATTCTTGCATCTAACAATTAAGGATCGGTCACCCTGGTTTATCGAAAGAAACAAAAGAAAGGTCTTAATTTTTTAGGCACATAAAATGCAGAAACTAAAATACATATTTAGAGTGAATGGACCAGAGGCTGAAGCATACCAAGCTCCTTCAAAGTTGAAAGAAGAAGGCGTTTGATGAGAACGAATCCCAGCACTTGCTCAAAAACCTCACCGAGTAGCTCCCTGAGTTGCAGACAAGAAACATGGTTCAGAGACAACAATGGCAGCACTGTTGTAGGTGAGGTTGACATTGAAGAAGGCAACCATGCATCTCTTGTATTTCTTCTAAATGTCCCATACTTTCTCTCCCTTTCTTCTCAACAATCTCTCTTCTCTAGAATGTTGTAATGAAACTATGCAAACCGCAAAAGTTTGCTTTGCCAAATGGGATGTATGATAAGCTCTTTTATAAAGCATTAAAGCTTCATTGTGAGAAATATATGTTCCTATCTGATTTTCTTAGAGAAAAAGGCAAAGCCAAGTGCATCATTAAAAAAATAACTCAACACATTTTCCAGAAACATGTCGACGTTTGCTTCTTTCTCTCACAGTTCGAACTCATCGATAGCTGAAGAAAGTACATGCAGTCAAGCTTGCTCTAGCAGAATTCTCAACTTCCTTGTCTCAAACTTGTGACCCTAATAATATTTATCTTATTCATATCTTGGTGTATCCTTTTCATACTAAATATCCATTACCCTTGTTTTAAAATTCTCGTCATCTGAACCATGGCTAAACTCCGAACTAGATGACACGTTTGAATCCTTATTTTCCTCCAAACTCTTTCTGCCTTTTTTCATAACTTCTCCTTCATCGGCACACCGCATCACCTTCCTTTTCCTCCTGAATAATCGAACACCATCTCCCTTTTGAAACTTATCTGACTTATTCATAAGATGAATATACCTAAACCGCATACCCATCAAGGGATGCTCTCCATCAAGAAATCTTTCCTATAAGCTTCCTTAAGCACCACGGTCTGTGTCCTGATCTTATTTGACATATAAAATATCCCCGGAAAATGCTTCACCGCCTTCTCGAATCGATTCTCGAACCCCATATACTCTCCCAAAGAATACACATTCTTCCCTTCAGTCTTCTTCGACACAGAGCCACAACACTCGTGAAGCACAACCACGGTCCATTTCTCCGCCTGCTCACTCTTAGGGCCTAAATGAAACGCGTTTTCATAAGGTGAAATGTAAGGCAAATCCTGCCATGTTTCAACCCAATCCTTCACCTTTTCAATTTCGCTTGGCCAGAAAACGACGCTCTCTTTTCCATTTCGGAAATAGGAAGCTCATCCCTACAAGAAACAAGCTCTAAAAAAGGGTTTATTTTCCATCACAAGGGTCTTTATATTCACAAACATGGAAATATTCAGGATAATCAGAAAGAAGAAAAGTAATGTAATTCCAGGGAAGGCCGAGATCAAATTTGAACTTGTCTACGATACGCAAAGGCAGCCTACCTGTTTTGGTCAGCATTAACAACTTAGCCAACCGGTTTACGGTGTCATTTCGGTGGGAGGGAGAGCTGTGAATGGCTAGCTCCTCCTTATGCAGAGCCATAGCTTGAGGAGTAAGCTTAACGTGGAGAGGAAGAGAAAAAGAGGGCTGGAATTGGGAGAAATGGAAGGGTACTTGTGAAAAAGCTTGGAAGTATAGGTGGGGAGATTGAAGTGGGATTTGAGAGGTGGGAGAGAGAGAGGAAAGGAGAAGGGATTTGGAGGAGAAGAGACGATTTGATTTTTGAGGGAAAGGATTTCTTTGAGGTTTTTCTCTCTTTCGACGGCGGTGTCGAGGTAAGGGTCCGAACCCATTTGTCCTGGCGTCTGCGAAGCTGCGGACCAGAAGCAGCCGGTGAGGACTCTGGTGCGAACCGCCATGGTTATCATCTCGATGCAGTCTGCGTATGAATTTTCAAATTTTGATATAAGTATATCTAGGGATGGCAGTGGTCGGATGGCAGTGGTCGGATTTTCCCCCCATCCATTCTGTATATATAATTTCACTATTTAGACACAAATCTCACCAGCCGTCTTAGCTCAGCCGGTAGAGCGCGTGGCTTTTAACCACGTGGTCGTGGGTTCGATTCCCACAGACGGCGTTTTTTTGAATATTTCCCGCCAAATAAAACAAGCCTGGCATTTACCTTTAATTATTATCCACACAATATTCTTGGATTTCCTTTTTCACTTTTTTCTGAGGAAAAAAAATAATAGCTTCCTCTTAGCTTTCCATTTCTTTCCAAACATCAATGGATAGCAAGCCCGCCATCTCTTCCTAGGATATTCTCTTCCGAGCACTCGCTTCAATCCCCGTCTCACATTTCTTCCTCGCCGCCTTCTTTCTATTCCTCGTTTTTCTGTACAACTTTTTGGAGATTCATTTTCTTCACGAGTTACTCGCTCTTCAGAGGCGATCCGGTTACGTTAACTTACAACTCCTGCTCTGCTCCGACCTCGGCCGATCAGTCGCCGCCAAGTGTAAGATACTCCAACAAAGTAACATTATTACTTTTAGAAAAACGGAAAGATTAATTTGAACAGTTTACTCAATACATATAAATTATTGAACTGAACTGCTAATTTTTGTTAGTTTTTTGCATTATTGAGCTGCTGATTTTCATATTAGCTATTTAACAATAAGGTTTAGTGTTAATTGAACTGCTTTTTCAGTTTTCATAGAGTTTGAGGATTAAATTCGGACAAATTAGAGGATTGACTTCTCAATTCTCTGCTAATCTATCGAAACTCGAATTTAATCTTCCAGTTGTTTGTGATTTTGTTCAACAATCGTGCAGGTACTTGGCCACTCCATGGCTTTCTAGTCCTCATCTTCAGACAGCCTTTTTGAGTTTTCACGAAGGCCTCCTCCTGTTACTTATAGACGGTTAGTTCAGTTCTTTCTATTTCTTTTTCTTTTTTAATCTGTATTTTCAACTTCTTCTCTTTGGATAGATATCAATGTGCTAACTGCTAAGTGTTTATTATTCTTAGACGTTTATTCCGTGCTTTTGATAGTGGAACAATTGCTCTGGACTGGCTAACTTATTTGGATGGTCAGATTTTACTCATCATCCCATGATTTGTTTATTTTGTTTTTAGTTAGCTTGGTTTTTAGAACATTTATGTATGATATTCGAATTTAAAGAATGGGTGAGAATTCACTCTTTAAAATGATAGATGTGGCTTCAGTTTAATATTATGAATCTTTAACTAATAACATTTGTGGAGGGTCCCTCTGGCATAATTGATGGTTCTGCTGTTCGTAAAGGTGATAAAACTCCGATTGTCATTGTCATTCCTGGCTTGACCAGCGATTCTACTGCTGCAGTAAGTTATATATGTATATATTCGCTCATATTTTTGCTGAAGAACCTAAAGAAGTGTCGTTGTGTGTGCAGTATGTGAAGCATCGTGCATTCAACATGGCAAGACAGGGTTGGAGTGTTGTTGTATGCAATCATCGTGGTCTAGGAGGTGTATCTCTAACTGTGAGTTTCTCATGCAACGCTCTTTTGGCCTAGATTCTTAATCATCTTAGTCTTTTGAGAAATTGCCATTTTCAAATTCACGAAGTCTACCTGAATGATTTTATTTTCAGTCTGATTGCTGTTATAATGCTGGATGGACTGAAGATGTACGGAAAATCATTGACCATATACGCTGTGTGTCGTAACCGGTTTTCGTCCGGGCACGAAAATATTAACTTTATGGGAAAAGTAATGTGAATAAATGGTTTTTAAAATAATTTGGGAGTCGCCATCGGCCTTTTGAGTCAGGTAGGTCGAATACCTAAAAATCATCTTTTAAAAGAGTTTTTAAGAAAACATCAATTAAAAGATAAATTGATCTGCGTTTAATCAAAAATTCATTCTTTTTATTAATAAAAAGAGATTCGTGGTCGGTTACGTTTAGGGAAAGATTAGCACCCCTACAACGCCCAAAATTGGTACTTTATTAACTATAAATTGTCTCTATTATTAGAAGAAAAAATTTCGAATATATTTAATTCATAATCTTTTTATTTCAAATTTATAATTTTAAGAAAATATATTAATATATAAATAAGATATTTATTTATTTAGAAATATCAGAAAAGGGCTTCTAGGTACCTTAAGACAGCTCTTTCCTTCTATATTAAAATAAAACGTAAAAAACTAAATTATAATTTTTATAATAATTAGTTTTAAAATACCAAAATAGGACATCCAGTTGTATTAAGACTGCCCTTTTCTTTAATATGGAAAATAAATAAACATTATTAAATAATATATATATATTTAATATAGTAAAACAATAATTAAAGTAATGATTTAAAATATATTAAAATAATAAAAATTAAGAAAAAAAATAACTAAACAATGACTATAAATAAATAAATAATAATAAATGTAAAATTATTTAAATAATGAACATAACTTGAATCATCATAAATAAAATTACTAATAGTGTAATTAATCTTTAATTAATTAATCATTGATTAAAATAAAATTTATCAAAGTTTAAAGGCTCTATCTCGAATAAATAAAAACTTTAAATGCTAAAAATGTAATTTAGCCTTATTTAATTAATCGGATTAAATAAATGTTAATAAAATTATAAGGTACAAATCAGTTATTTACCCTAAATATATATAAACTGATAATGACTAAAATGTAATAAAATAAAATTGAATGATAATTAAAAGAATCAAAATTTGCTTCCAGTGACTAATTTGTAATGTTATAAACTCGGAGTGACTGCGGAAAGGGTTTACCCATGATGAAAATTACACAGATACCCTCCCCAGAACGACGTCGTTTGGGGAGGGTTTTAAATACCCTAAACGCCTGGCCCGAAGGGCCAAGCTTCTCATTTGCCTATTTCCATTCTCTCTCAAAATGAGAGAACCAGAGTTCTCTCTGGTTTCTCTCTAGTTTCCCTCGCCGGAGGGAAACCGGCAGCCATAGGCCACCGTACTCCGCCGCCGACCACCGCCGCCGGCCACCGTAACGGTGGTCGGAATTCACCAAAAACACCCCCAAAGCGTAGATCTAAACGCCCTAAGACCGATTCCGGTCTTTGTTTTCCCTAAAAGACTCCTAATCGGAGTAAATCTACGAAAATACCTTCGGTATTTTCTGTTCTCCGGCGATGTTTAGTGCTTCCGACGGTGGTCAAGGCTCCAAGGGTAAGTTTCTTTCTTCTTTCTTTGCTTTCTGTTTTGGTTTTATGTTGGTTGTGGGTTCGTTGGTAGCTTTCTGTCTTCCCTTTTTTTTTTTTTCTTTGCTGGATCTCTCGTTTCTCTCGTGTTCTCCGTTGCTCTCTGTCCTTGCTCTCTTCTTTTCTTTTGCAGGTTCAATGGTGGCTTTTATAGCCACCACAGTGTACTCCTCGGACCGGTCCGATCTAGCATCTTTGGTGAGGCAGCTGGCTTCTGGAAAGCTCGACGAGGTCGGCGTCGTGGAAGCAGCAGCGTCGGCAGCAACTGGTTGGACCATCTGGCATCAGAGAGTCGGTCGTCGGGGTGGCTTCAGGGGTGGCGCCGCATCTGGAAACGGCTGGCTGCTAGGGTTAGAAACCCTAGGGTTTTCCATCTGGAACCCTTTTGGGCCGTTGGATCTTGCCAGATCCAACGGCTGATGATGTTGACGGCGGCTGGGGGCTAGGGTTTGAAAACCCTAGCTGAAACCCCAAATTGATTCAGGGTTTCCATTTGGGTTTGGATCGGAAAGCACTCAGAGAGAACTCACAGAGAGACTTTAGAAACACTTTGGTAAGTGAATTGTGAATGTTTTGGAGTGAGTTAGAAGCTGAATAGCTCTCTATTTATAGGCTAGAAATAGGGTTAAAATCGTCCATAAAATTTCAGGATTAAACCTCTTATTAGTAACAGCTGAAACGACTAGATGAACCTGACTCAGAAATAGTCCAGGTTCATTGTATCATTCAGCTGTTATAACTCCGAAATTATATCATGTAACCCCTGGAATTAAATCAAATAACTCCTGTAAACTCCTGATATTAACAGCTTGTCCCTCTGTACAAAGCTGTAAATCATCTAGTACATCTTAACGTTTCTGATTTAATTTAGGAATAACTGTTAATTTCTGATAAAAAATAATTCAGCTGTTATATTGAAATTCAAACAGTCCTCAGCAGCCTATAATATCAGTTGATATCTTTCACATTTTCCATTTGTTTCTTTCAAAGAGAAATTCCTCAAGAATTTTCTCTAAAAAGATAGTATCCGCGCGGACGTGTCGAAAGACACGTATTACATTACCATTACCATTACCACGACACGACCACACCACGACCACGACCACGACCACGACCACGACCACGAGCCGTGCCGTGCCGAGCCGAGCCGAGACGGACGGACGGCGGCGGTGCGAGAGCCCCCCTTGTTCTCTATCACTCAACAAGGAAGTAGAATGTCAAGCCTTAAATACCATTCCAATAGTGTTTCCAACACTATGTGATTGAGCATTACCAACAAGATGTACGGAAATCATTGACCATATACCTGTGAATATCCAGAACTCCTCTATTTGCTGTTGGAACTAGTTTTGGTGCCAATATTCTGGTATATGAATTGTTCTGATTATGTTTATGAGCATAACGAATGTAATTAAGGATTGGAATTTACATTTTATTTTGATTTTTTTCCTTGGAAGAGGTAGGCTTCTATTTTTCCTTCCTATCGTATCACTTGTGAAGAACTCTATGTTTTTAGCTGAAAATTTATTAGTTTTAACTTTCAGATGAATATACTTTCATTTCATCTGCTCCGATCAGGCTTAACCTTCAAACAACAATCGTTCTCTCTCTGTAATCTTCTGTAGTAAAGCAAAGAAATCTCAGACTCAAGCAGTTTTTCACTACAAAACACACAATTTATCGTTTGATCTCAAGCTTTTTCCATGGAAACCCAAGTCCCGTTCCACCTACAATGCCACCCAATGACTATGCTCCAACGTCGACACTTCCCGCCCTTTCCGCTCCGTCAAAGAAGCCGTCGCCGTCTTCGGCGAGCGGCTTCTTGTCAGAGAGATATACGCCCCAAAGCCTTACACTTACAGCCGCCCTCCAACCCGAGAGATCACTTGGTTTTCACCCTACTCCTCTAAGCCGAGAAGAAGATGAGGAACAAGAGAAACCCATCATCATCAAGAGGTTGTCGATAACTTAAAGAAGCTCGAGACCGAGCTGGAGGAAACAAGGCGGAGCTAAATTTGTTGAAGGAAAGAGAATCCGGAACATAGATTGCGTTGGCTTCATTGAACGCTCAACTCCATAAGAACATGTCTATGCTGGATGTAGCTGAGGCAGCGGAGACGACGCCGACGACGGGGAGTTTGTAGATGAAACGAATGGAAAATAACCCGAATTTGTCTCAGATACTGTATAGATGAGAAGAAGGGTGTTTTGGAGGCAAAAAATTAAAAATATAAAAAAAAGGTTTAATGAAAGGGTAAAATTTTATTAACACCCGAACTTCATAAAAAAAATAGACTTTTTTTGTAAATCTAAAGAATTTAAGGATAAATTTGTAATTTAACCTTCGTAGAATTTTATATTCATGACAGAATAATGATATTTTGAAAATAAAAAAAAATTTAAGGGCATTTTAGTCCAAAACGCCGGTAATGTTACAATACCTAAGGGAAGGGAGGTAATGACATTCCCGGGTAATATACCCCAAAAAATCCACTATTGGTAATAAAACATTACCGTGAATGACATTACCGGCCAAACCAAACGGGGGAATGTGGATTCCATTCCCGGGGGAATCCCACATTCCCCCATCCAAACGCCCCCTAAGTGTATAAAATAAGTATATGTCATGTGAAGTAATGATAAAATAATATTAAATGTTTAAAATACGATTGATGAGGGCAAAACTTTCGAGATAATATTCTGGAAGAAATTAATTCACGAGCTAATGTACTCCCAAGATTAATTGTTCAAATAGGGTGAAATCCACAGTGTTGGTCGTAGATCGCCATGCCTTCCGGGCGACCTTGTAGGTCGTCATGCACTCCGGGTGACATACCCTTGCTCAAGAGAATGAACGTGTTGCATGTCACATGCACGTCCCAACACATAGGTCGTCATGCCCTCCGGGCGACCTTGTAGGTCGACATGCTCTCTGGGCGACCTTGTAGGTCGCCATGCACTCCGGGCGACCTACCCTTGCTCGCTCGGCTGCCCTCGGATTCCCTCGCATAGCTCGCTCGGCTGCCCTCGCATAGCTCGTTCGGATGGTCTCGGTCGGATGGCCTCGGATGCCTAGCGTGTTGGGACGTGCATGACACATGCAATCTCTTGTAGCTCGCCGGGAAGACATGGCGACCTAGTAGGTCGCCGGGAAAACATGGCGACCTAGTATGTCGCCCGGAAGGCATGGCGACCTACGAATTTCACCTTATTTAAGCAATTAATCTGGGGAGTGCATTATCGTAAATTAATTTTTTCCACTCGAAAGTTTTGCCATTGATGAGAAACAACTATCACATGATATTAAATATTTTATTATTTAAATGAATTTTTTATTCAAATACTACAATTTATAGTCATTTTAGATTAATGAAAACTATATGCTTATTTAAGTGAAATATGCATGCCCTATGCTATAGATATTTCAGAATTTAAGCATACTCTGGGCACGGTGGATGTAGGGATAGGTATGGA